ATGAGATGTGAGGTACAAGGAAGTTTGTCCTGTGACGCACATCGACGCATGGGAACGGCAGAAAACCTTCTGTTTTTCGACATGTCTTTGTAATGATGACTGACTCCATGTTTCTTTGTATTATTCCTTGAACATGCCTGACATGGTTTCTGAAATACAAAGCACACGCCAATGTGTTCTTGTTCTGCAGGTCTCACCACACCCAGCAATAATTAGCTGCCCTTTTGTTACAGGACGAAACGTAGTGCAGAGGTAGTTTTAAAAACATGAAGGACGTCTAATTATAATCCGTTTAAAAGTCAAATGTATTTCCCATTAGTCACCAGGGTATCAAAACAGGTCACGGTTTGTTTTCAAAATTAAGTAAGTTATTTGCTCTCCCTATATGCAACTTGTGATACTTTAATTACATTTATAAAACATTATCATCTTATTCAATGCCTTATTATTCTAGTGCTGTGATTTTAGATCGTGAAATGTTTAAAATGATCTTCTCCACTTACTTCATTCATCTGAAACCGCTGCACCAGCGATGCCCCTTATGTCGGTCTTTTTCAACTAAATTGTCCTTCGTATAATTTAGGATCCAAAACCAATTTGTGAGCACTTAATTGATTTAATCATGGTTTTACTACAAGATTTCTGTGAGTTTTTGTACATGCATGTGCGACGTTGGATTACAGTTAAAGAGATACTTTTTTTGGTGTCGCATCTTTTCGGGCCTTCTAGGGTTTGCAGAGCGGTGCAAACTTGTCACTCTAACAAGTGACGACTCTTTTTCTAAAGTTTCAGCGTAATTGTCAAGACATTTCCTGATTTGCTTCATGTTACAGGCCTCAAATTCAATAAACATAATCAAAGCACAGAGTTACAGTGTAGCATTCCCAATAAGAATGTGTTCAAACATTCCTCCATCAGCCCCAACTACGGTGACGCAGAAGTGACAATCTCTGCGTCATTTCCTGGAGTGAAACCTCCAAGATGTCTCTTTTTCTCTTCAATCATCTTCCTGATAAATTTATATTTTTCATTTATCATAAAACAGGGAGGGGGAGTGGGGGGGACTATGTTTTGAGGATACGCAAAACAGAAAGTGAGGATTAGTGCCTTGGGGCAGCTGTGGCTACGATCCGGTAGATTGCCATCGTCAGTATGTGAATGTGTGCATGAATGGAAATGACTGATTTCATGTAAAGTGTCATTGAGTGTCCTATATAAACCTAATGTTGCTACATTTGCATTTTATTTCATAGTGTGGAACTGACAAGACATTGGAGACCCGAGCAAGGATTACTTTTCACCAACATGAGTTAAACTTTCAGAGATTCTTTCTAAACAGCAGCGGACGCCCTGCTTCATGCCTAATCCCGGAGGTCAGGTCTTATAATCGGTTTTCGAGTGACAATAACTGGATGTTGGTGTCAAATAAAACACAGTGAGAGCTCTGCAAGCAATCACTTAGAAGTCAATACACTGGAATAAAAAGGGAAATCCTTGCAAACAAACAAACAAACAAAAAAAAATCCAAAAGGCCTGAAACAATACTGCCGGCAGCTAAAGTCAACCATTCTCTCAATGATTTAAAGTTGTTCATGAACGCCTTTTTGGCTACAGGTGTGTGATAAGTTCACTCTTCATCTTGTGCAAACTTACCTCCATATAACTCTTTTATGCTGAATTTACCTTGTATAAAGTTTATGAAAGAACAATATCAGTCGCGTCTTTTGTCCCAACTTCACTGTTGTACTATAATTACGAACAATGAACCGTCTTTAATGTAAGGCGTTTTCAGTCGAATTCTCTTTTGCATTGATTAGACGGAGAAGTCCGAGAAACAAGGACGTTTACGATGGGTGAGTTATATAAAGACTTACAGTCATGGATAATATAAACAAGATAGCTGTGATATGAATGAAAAAGTATAGGTAAACACATTATGGATACCGTTAGCCATAATGTGTTTACCTATACGTTTTAGCCTCGATACACCGTCATTTATATCGGGACGGGATTTATTGAGCATTTATTTCCCCATTCTGAGCAGGAAACTATGAATTTTATTTCTTTGATAGTCAGTTGAAGTTCTTCACCGAGGATGTCATTCGACACAATAATGTCATGTTATTTCATATTTGATCATCGTTTTGTATTTCTGCTAACATTTATTGTCCAAGTATGTTGAAAACAAACATATAATTTATTCACCCCATTCACTCATTGAAGCGTTAATTGATTTAGTTTTATATCTGCTCATTACATGCCCTGCATTGATATACCAGTATTCCCATGCAGGTAGGCAGAGGTGACGTATGGACATAGCAGAGTTTAAAATGCCAAAACACGACAATCAAGCAAAAGGAAAGAAAAAAAAAATTGGTTTGTGAAATAGGAATGTGTGTGTGGGTGCGCGCTTGGGTGTGTGTGCGTTTGCATGAGGGTGTGACATAGCATAACATCTGAATTGATGTGAATCTGCTGCCAGGTTTCAGTCCTGCAGGTTTTTCGGAGGAGCGTCAACTTGTTTCTCTGCAGGCCAGAAGGAGGAGACAAATACGCAATAAATCCTTAGCAGCAATACTTTCAAAGTAGCTTTAAACTTGAATCTGGATCAAGAGAAACAGCTGTTTAATGCCCAGAGGTGAAGGATGGGTCTGATGGTCACTCTTCCTGTAAAGGCTCAATGACACATCAATGGCAATTCCTGCACCCACACACACACACGCACGCACGCACGCACACACACACACACACACACACACACACACACACACACACACACACACACACACACACACACACTTTGCGACCCAATAAAAGGAGATGTAAATTTTCCTGCACTTAACCAAAAAATACACAAATATCTCGGCAGTTTATATTAATACTGAAATCGAGGAAGATTATTGGCAGAAATGTGTCTTTACTCAGTGGTAACCACCTGAAATCCATCATAAATCAAATCAGACTTCCTCAATAGCATTCCCAATAAGACATTCCTAACAACCACAGTGATGCAGACGTGACAAAGTCAACAAAAATGGAAGCGCCGTACCGACTCGTCCACTTCTTTGTCATCCAGTTGGCATTTAAGATATATAATTTATTGAATTATTTAATATTTGACTTATTTTAGAGATTCTAAAAATAGAAAAAGGAAATCAAAAATCTTTGCAGTCAAAGTGTTTTTGCAGGGAGGACTTGCAAAATAAAGAGTAGATTGGGAATAAAATTGAGATATTACCTCAATGTTCGTTAAAGAACTAAGGAGACCTAAGCTGGAAGGAGGCACCACTAAAGCTGGTGCAACGGTTAATAAATTCATTTTTATTCAGATATGGGATTCATTTTGGCACAAGCTGCGAGACACGAACAAGGGAGGCCAGAAAGCGTGATGTCCAGTGATGTAAATTCAGCAGCAGAAGTAATTTATTAGTCTGATCAGGGTGCCTCCTGTTAGTTTGGAGTTTGTTTCCAGTTCACCCATCAGCCGGAAGGAGACACTGGGACAAACTTCCCCTCCCCGATTCAATTCAGTCCTCCAAGCAGAAAACAATGGATGCATTTTGCCCCAACTTCCTCTTATCTGTTCACTTGCGCGAGGTTTGTTTTACATCTCATCTACTTTGCATAGCTCTTTCAAGTTGTTCCTTGTGAAAGCTGCTTCGCAAAAATAGTCCTCAGCTTCTCAGTAAATAGATAGCTTCTGTTGACTGAATGCGGGCGCAGAGTTATTTCTGTGAAGTTCGGCTTCAACAAAAAGACCAAACTGATGAACGGCTAAAAATAAAATAGAAAAAAATGTCGATGGAAACTAATCCTTTATGGCTGCAAACATAAAAGCCTAGCAAAAGACATTCAGGTATGGGATGAATTTTGCTATCAACCATCTTATCGCATTAGCAATGCCCTTGATGTTGAGTAATATCAGGGCGGAAAGAGGCTGCAGCCAGTGTTGTGTTGTGTGTTCTCATGGTTACCAGGCACAATAACTGGCCAGTACAAGGCGGATTGTGGACGAACAGGAAATATGTTGCTCTATTACTTATCTACCAGTAACATCTAAACATGGGTTCAGGAAATGTAGATGACTAATTGCAAAACTTCTCACAGTGACAGTCTAATTAGTGTTCGGGATTTCTTGACATGAAGAATAATGCTGGCTTAAAGTTTTGGCACAAATCAGTATTGTGAGGAAATAAACGGCTGGAGATTGCAGTTTTTTATTTCAGACAATGATTAGCTGAACATAGAATCATTTAACAAAATGTTCACAATATCGACACCAGAGATTTAGGGAGGCAGAGAAAGACGTGTTCTGTAGTGGCAGAGATGAGCAATAGCATCATCAGCCAGCAGAGGCAAATATGGTGAATAGAAAGCAAACCCAATTTCATGTTTTGTATTTGTAAGGATTTGTGGGGTATACACAGATATTTTTTTACAAACTTTTCTGTACTGTTTTGTGCACTTGCTGTTAGATTTAAGGACATTTAAAAGCTGCTCAAAAACGTGACTAAGTTTCCCACAGAGACAGCATAGGATATTTATTATTTTAAGGAATATTTTAAATTCTTCACCACCCTTTGAGGTATAAAAATAAGTACTATTTAAGGCTCGATATGTTTTTTTTGGCAGCAAAGTGACAAACCAGTTCTCAGTATTTTCAGCTTGTTTGGCAGGTCTCCATCTCTCTTTTTCGAATTAATTTTAAAATCCAGCACTCAACGTGAGAGCATAAAACAAATTTTCTATGTCCTTGTCTGTATTTAAATCTGCTGTTACATACAGAAGTCAAAGTTTTTCAATTTACATATTTGACTTTATGCAGTGAGGCGCAGCCGCTGGAGCTGTTAAGGCAGGAAGAACAGGTTTCCGCAAAATGAGCTTAACTCCGTTGTTGTTTTTCTTTTAGTTTTGTTCAAACCAATCAGTGAACTGGAGATTTTGTCAAGATATTGTATCAGACTGATAAAAAGGTGAGTCTAACCTCGTGTAATTCGTACATTTCAAGTCTCACGATAAACTTTGGGTTTGCGCAACCCGCTTCTCGATTTTCTTGTCTGTCAGATTGAGCCTGCTCTGAAATTTGTACGTGTTGAAACTCGCAGGAAATTATTATTCAGAGGCTCACGTGCGATAGCTTCATCAATCCTGCAGGAGAGAACACAATATAAAAACACTGTATGTAGGTGGACATGGGTGGAGAAGATGAAGAATTGACGTTTTGTAGAAACTTCTAGGAATTACCATTGCAGGCTGCTGTTGCTGTGATTTGTTTCCTGCTGATTGCTCAAACGGAAGTTGCTATGAACAACTTGTACTTTTCTTCAGAGTTTCTAAAAAAAAGAAAAGAAAAAAAAGAGGTTTCTAGTAACTTTGTAGCAGTGATCAGGAAATCCCTGGAGGCTAAAAAGGCATCTTTAGGTGTGAGTGAGTTCTCAGATCACCAAACCTGATAAACATCCCAAACTGTGACCTCCACACTCAACTGCACAGATAAAATTCCTCTCGCATCCCTGCGGTTCGTCCTTTCATTTAGAAAAGCAACAGGAGGATGTTGCTTTTCTAAATGCGTTCTTTTTCTACAATCGCTGGAAGTTCATTGCTATTTTGAACTGTTCCACCACATTGGAGGATACCAGTTCATCAAAGGGTATATCGCACACAACCTGGGCTGCAGGGTTACATTTTGACAAATTGGAGCTGCAGTTTAACATGCACAGTTAAATTTTCCTAAACTTTCCTTGTAATATTTGTTCAGGCGCTTTAGTGTAGGTCTTCAGTCATCCAGGATATGAGTCATCTGAGTTCATGTACAAGGTGAAGAAGCAGACGATTAAGGATATTCTAGATAAAAGAAAAATGCACATCTAAGTCTATTTTGATGTCTAGAAATATATAGACCCGTTTTAACCAGAATTGCCTACGTCGTGTTCTTGAAAGTGCAGACTTCTTTGTAATCTATGCAATCCAGTCATTACTATCCTGACAGCAAGTACAACATTGCAAAAAATCAGATACTTTTATAGTTATTTTTCACCAGAAAAACTCCAGCGCTTTCCATGACTCTCTATTCTTGTGAAAGTACACATGTTCGAAAGAGAAACTCTCTGGCAGCTACAGCGACGCCGAATGCAATCAAAGCACTTACACATCGTGTCCCTTTGAAATTTAGCGGCTGAGACGATGCTTACACTTGTGAGTGATTTGCAGACCTGTCTTCTCGCCGTTAGTTTTCAAGCATGCATCTGAAGAACCTGGGTTTTTGAGGTGCAGGAAGCTGCACACCTGAGGCCTCCTGCTACTGCACAGAAACAACTGGTTTGGCCCGTCCTAAAAAAAAAGTTTTGTTGAGCATCGAGAATGAGGGCTGAGGGGTAAAACAGGATTCAGTTTTAGTCAGAGACTAATCCAGTCAAATGATGAGGCACCTTAACTCGAGGTTACTGGTGTCGGATACGTAGTTCACCAGAAAAACAAACATTCAGACCTACGCGCTGAGAGAGGAAACAGCATCTACACCCAGATGGTCAATCCAGGACTGAGCGGCTCGTTTACATTTTATGGGAAAATGAAACATTTTGTTTTGAGGACAGTCATTACAGACGGTGAAGACAGGTGGGCTGAGATAGAAGTGAAGGGAACAAGAAGAGCCATCACTGAACAGGAAGTGTGTTTGGGTTGAAACACCTTGATTGCAGTTCTGACTCTTCTCCCCAAGCAGCCCCACAAGCTAAAACACCTGAAAACACGACAAGAAAGGAACTTGCATCTTAATCGCTTTGGAAATTGAAAGGAAGGAATGCTGTGTCAGTGACTAATGAGAATTTAACAGCCCTATTAGTTTGAGTGCTCTATAAATAAGCTTCTGGAACTCCTAACCAGATGAAGGTGAATCATTTTATGTGCCTTATAATTATGAGCTTTACTTCTGGCTTTGACAGCCTTTGGCCAGATTGCAGCTTGCTTTGATGGCACAATTGTGTTTATTTATGACACACAAGGTTAAGATAAAGAGTCCAAACGTTCTTATAAATAATAACATATAAACTGTTTTGTAAAAATGAATTTCTGTGGCAAATCTTTCTCAAATCTGCTTTAGAATTTGCACCTATTCAATCTCATCAAAAGTGATCAACGCTAAAGAATCTGCAATAACTTTTCTGGTATTCATATGTGCTTAGGAAAAATGAGTTTCACTCTGATTAATACTTGATCTAATAAACTATAATACCCCTTTGCTATTTGTGATATCAGAATGAGGAACTTTGAAATGCAGAACAGGAAGAAAAATGCTGCATGTTTTCAATATGTCATTATATAACAATGAAGGAAATAAATGAGCTATGAAGATAATTCTGCGAAAATCCCAAAACAGTACCAAGGTTTGCTCAAGGAAGTTCTTAAGAAAACAAAAGAGAGAAACGTGTGACTGGTAAGCTGCACAATAGCATGCCATTTGTACCATTTGGCTGTGCAGCCTTACAGTTTATCCCTCTGGTGCTCATTGTTTTATTTAGTTTTTTTCTGTTAGACAGGGACTCTGGTTCCCTCCCACGCTCTAATAACATCAGTGACTCTAAATCTGACCTCTACATTTTGTTTGTGTGCTTGAATAGACAAATCCGGTGCGGACAATAAGTCGGTAATCCTTTTTGAAAACTGTTGACTCTTCGGGAGTGCAAGTTGAATCAGTGGATTGTAACTTTAATTACAGTCGGGTTCACCCAACGTAACCTGTGGAAGTTTCTGTCGTGAGCGTCACAATAGAGCCAAACCCTTCAGAAGCAGCTCCAACACCGGCAGGCACCTTTCCACACAAAGCCTCCAACAAAGCAGCAGCCGTTGCTCCACAGAACAGACAGTGTAGCTTACAGATGTGTAATTATGTCTGACTGTTGTTAAAGCTTAACAGCCATTGTGTTCAGGTACAATACTTTAGTTACTTCAATTACTGCGATCTATTGCCAACAACGGCACTGGTAAACGCTGTTGCCAATAAGGCGCGAGATTCAGTTTTGGTTATTGCACAAACTGACCAAGATTTCAGCTACTTGGTAAGCTCACAGGCACATTGGACACTGTGGCCATTAAAAACAAAACACCACTGGATAACTTTTGCTTTTAGATACTCAAGGTCAACCTAAAAAACCAAAATGAAAGGATTTAGGTAATATGTGACAAAATTAAATGTAGGATCTGATAGATTTTTTTAATAAAGGACGTGACAGGCTTGGAGTGACGAATAACTTAAAAATGCTATTGAATTTTCTTTGTCACAAACCAGACAAAAAGGAATGTAAAGTTAGCAAGCAAGCCGTATTAAAGGAGGGAGCGTTTGTTTGTCTCTCATAGAAAAAAAACAAAACAAAAAAATCGTTTGAATTTGTTCCTCTTTGTCTTTTGCAGACAAAAATAAAAGATAACCATCAAGCTGCCATCATGAATGGTGGATTCCTTGTAAAATTGTTGGCAGGTGAGTAATCTTGTACGTTAACCTTTGGCACAGGTTTAGATGCTACACCAAAACTGATATCTTTTATAATAATAATATCTTTTCCTGTGAGTAACCGTTCAGGAATAGAGCTGGACGCCTCTGGCTTTAAAGTAGCCCGACATTTGTAGTTATCTTTTATATTACTCCTCATTACCATTCTGCAGGTTTTCAGAAGGTCATTCAAAGTTTGCCTTTTGAGAAGACGTTTTGTTGTAGTTTGATTGACACCTGCACACGACTGATGGACCATTCAGGAATAGCCTGGCCATTCTCTTTAAAATTTTGCTTCACAGCTCAGTGGGCTTTCTCCCATTGACTTGGATTCCCCTAGTAGATTTTCAGAAGCAGAATTTGTGAATGACAACGCTGATTTTCTGCGCTGGTTTTGTATGGTAGTCCACCTGCAGTTTTAGCAATGGCAGGAAAGGAAGTGAAGGAAACTGTTAGCTACGCTTTCAAATATTACATTAACATCCGACTGTTAATGTGCGGCACTTCTCTATTTGCAGTGGGGGATGGTTGCTTACAATGCAGCCAATTTCCAGCCAGCTTCATAGCGTCAAGCTATCACATCACATGCGTGACGGACAAGTTGTAAACTCGTCCGTGCCACCAGGAATTAATTGTTACTCAATATCCAAGAGCCTAGATGTAGGATGAGGGGTCAGTTTTTACCAGGCTAATTCAGAAAGCCTCCTGAAATCTGACTGAGGAGCGCTCTGAAAGAGAACTTAGTCTAGATCCAATTAAGATATAACTTTCAGTAGCCAGGAATATTGGATATGTGTGATGGAAGAGCAGACATTAATCAAACATTAATTATACAAGATTTTGTGTCATTGTATGTCGATCTATAAATTTTTACTTTAATCTGTAAGAATGAAATGTAACATTACTCACATCATGTATTTTCTTTTTCATCACAGACTTTTGCATACATACGAACAGGGAGCTTTGTCCCGTCTTTCACATATCAACCTCATATTGCTTAAAATAATAGTTAATATTTAGATAAATGTTAATCTCTCCTGACTACTCTCATATGTATTCTTTCTATCTTGCACAGCTATCTGCATAACTCACACAGTGAGTCAACCAACCGAACCTACACAATTAAGTATTGGTACACCAACAAATAGCACTGTCGGAAACACAACACAATTTTTTGTTGAAAAAACGACAGCGCCATCAAGGAAAATCATCAGTAACAACATAACTGATGAAGAAAGCATCATGTCTTCTACAACCGAGACATATGCCCAAGAATGTTGCAAAACCATTCAATCATCTGATTCAGAAACAAGCCAGCCGGTATCTACATTTTCTGAGGGGAAATCATCATTTTCACGTGAGGCTCCTGCACCAGCTGAGGCTGAAAGCATCTCTGGTACGACGCCATCAAATGCTCTGCAGACTTCAGATATCAAAAGTGGCAACACACCCACCAGCATTTCTTCACCACTATCGCAAAGTGAGACAATGTCAGTACGCATGCCCACACAAGGATCCTCTGAATCACAGACAAACGGGCTTTCAACCGCCTTATCAGACATGCCTGAAAACATACAAACCAACATGAAAACAACCAAAATGCCTGCCAAGTCGCACACAGAGACAAAAGAGTCTGATGCAACAGAGGGTAGTACACCTTCACCAACAATAAACACAGTGGTGACAAGAAATACGCAATCGGGGCAAAAAACATCATCTGAGGCAAGTCCGAAGACTGACTCTAAAGCTACAACAAACGTCGCTGTAGTTTCAAGCACAACAGAGCCAACTTTAATACCGAATCAAAGCACTGACTCAGCCTCAACACAAAGCTCTGCAGGAACCACACAACCAGACACAACGTCTACAACGGAGACGCAAATGGAGTCTACAGAACAAGCTGCTGTACGTACTGCGAAAACTGACACATCTACTGCGCATTATACACAGGCACAAATGATGGAGGACACGACAACACCTCTGCCACCCTTATTGGAAACGTCTGCAACAGGATCAACCAGAAAGTCGACATCTTCCCATCCACCTGTAACACAAGCAGCAGCAGCAGCTTCACGCAGTGAATTACAAACATCAACGAAGAATGATGTAACACCTTTCACGACACATTTTCAAAACACCTCAGGACAAATTACTTTAAATTTAACAACTGAAACACAAACTGCAGCTGCAGAAGCAAGTGAAACAACTCAGTCAACCAAATTCTCCATTGCTTCCGAAATAACTTTCAGATCAACACACAGTGTGTCGATGGATTTTCAAGCACAAGAGACATCGTCGGCTATGGTTTCACCTCCACAAGGTTCGCCACATATTACAAGCTCAACAGGACAATCCAACACGCAAGGTTTGGAGACTTCAACAACCTCTGAATCACTGACGACACAACTTCCCCAAACTTCAAAACAAACTGCAGAATTACTAACAAGTAAAGGAACAACAGACAATGGACTGGCAGCAACGCGGCTCACACAACAAACTGCAGAGTCTGCAACAACACCGCCAAAAGAAACATCAACACAATCTAGTCCACCAACAGAAATGAATCAAGCCTCCACCATGGATTACACATCTACACTGACAGTAAAGTCCACAACATCATTCAGTACAATATCAGCTCCTTCTGTAATTTCTACAAAAGAAACATCTGTAAAAGGATTGTCTTTATCTCCATCTATTACAACACCATCCACAACTGATATTATAGAATCAACAACAAACAAGCCAGGCAATGAAACAACACAATTAAAAAACAACTCAGAACAAAACACTTCAGATGTGACCACACAAAAACCCGCTACAAATCATATTAAAGCATCATCAACAACAAAAACATCAACTGTTTCAGGAACTGATTTGCTTTCTTCATCATCTCTAAACGCAACACAAACTTTGACTGAAGCAATGCAACCAGAGGGTCAGAATAAAACTGCATCATCGACAACACAAGAAAATACAACAGCATCAACAAAATTTTCAACACAACAACCCACAACTGCAAAACAAACTCCTGCATCAACAACTAATAGTGGAACAGCTGACAATAAATCAGTTTCTGTGTCAACAAGGCTGAGTACAGAAACGACTCAATCTGTGGAAATTAATCCAACTACAAAACAAACACAATCTAGTCCAGAGGCAACGATCAGTAAAACATCTAAAGAGATGGTGGAGTCCATGACAACAGCCCCCACCCAAACATCTCCTCCATCTTTAACTTCCACAATCAACAAACCCGTTCAGTCAACACAGTCCTCTCCATATGAAACAAGATCCACAGTAAGCACCGTTTCAACAAGAAAATCTGAAGTTTCATCAGCATCCGAAGCATCAACGATACCAACCTTAACTGCAGAACAAACTGCTGAATCTACAACAATTCAAGGAAACACAGATAGTGCATCAGTTTTTATGTCAACCAGACCAAGATTACAAACGGCTAGTGAAACTAATCAATTAGCAACACAATCACAATCTAGTTCTGCAACAGCAAAAACTCAAACATCTACCACAAATCCTACATCTCTAAAGATGGTGGGATCCACAGCATCACCATCTTCATCCATGACAACAGCAATAAAGTTATCGATGTCTTCTCCATCTGCAGGAGTCTCCAGAGAAACAACACACACTGTAGTGCAGACATCAGACGATCAGGAAGGAACACATTCTTTCACAAAACAATTACAAAACACTTCAAAGCAAATAATGTTGAACGGAACAACAGAGAATAAAACTGTAGCTGCAGAAACAACCAAAACACCTGCAATCAAAGAATCATCCACTGCTTCAGAACCAGCTAAAGGCCCAACACCCAATAGGTCAGTGGATGTTCAAACAAAATCAACACCGGCTGTGTTTTCACCTCCACAAAGTTTGCCTGATGTTACAAGTTTAAGAGCACAATCAAATGCTCAGGATTCAGAGACTTCAAAAGCTTCACCATCATTTTCAGATCGACTGCCCACAACTTCAACACAAACTACTGGATCAACAATAATTAGAGGAACAACGGACAACAAATCACATTTTATTTCAACCAGAGTCCCATCACAAACTGCAGGATCTGTGACAGAGGAACGAATTGAAACACAAACAAAATCTAGCTCATCTACTGCCAAAACCCAAGCCACTAACACATCAACAAACCTGCCAGCACCAACAACCAGTCAAGACAGAGAGGCAACAACAGCATCACAATCTGCAGCTGCAGTAACAACAGAATTTGACATTCAGGATGATACTGAATCTGCAACAACCAAATCTGAAAATTCAACGACATCAGTGTCAACCAGACTCACACCCCAAGCTGCAGAGTCTGCGACAACACCGCCAAAAGAAACATCAACACAATCTAGTCCACCAACAGAAATGAATCAAGCCTCCACCATGGATTACACATCTACACTGACAGTAAAGTCCACAACATCATTCAGTACAATATCAGCTCCTTCTGTAATTTCTACAAAAGAAACATCTGTAAAAGGATTGTCTTTATCTCCATCTATTACAACACCATCCACAACTGATATTATAGAATCAACAACAAACAAGCCAGGCAATGAAACAACACAATTAAAAAACAACTCAGAACAAAACACTTCAGATGTGACCACACAAAAACCCGCTACAAATCATATTAAAGCATCATCAACAACAAAAACATCAACTGTTTCAGGAACTGATGTGCTTTCTTCATCACCTCTAAACGCAACACAAACTTTGACTGAAGCAATGCAACCAGAGGGTCAGAATAAATCTGCATCATCGACAACAACACAAGAAAATACAACAGCATCAACAAAATTTTCAACACAACAACCCACAACTGCAAAACAAACTCCTGCATCAACAACTAATAGTGGAACAGCTGACAATAAATCATTTTCTGTGTCAACAAGGCTGAGTACAGAAACGACTCAATCTGTGGAAATTAATCCAACTACAAAACAAACACAATCTAGTCCAGAGGCAACGATCAGTAAAACATCTAAAGAGATGGTGGAGTCCATGACAACAGCCTCCACCCAAACATCACCTCCATCTTTAACTTCCACAATCAACAAACCCGTTCAGTCAACACAGTCCTCTCCATATGAAACAAGATCCACAGTAAGCACTGTTTCATTAACAACTACCAAACAGGATGAAGAAACATCAACATTACAAAGTAAATCAAATGGAGCAACAGAATCACAAACAGTAGCACAGAAAACAACAAGAGCATTCTCAACAACTAGATCAGGAAATCAACAGAAAATGTCATCAGACGATTCAACAACCTCAGAAGCATCAACGACACAAACCTCAACTGCAAAACAAACTGCTGCATCAACCACCACTAACAGAAACAAAGCCAGCGGGTCGGTGTCTGCGTCAACAAGACAAACTACAGAATATGTGACAACACTGAGAACTTCAACACAAACACAGTCAAGTCCATCAACAACTGCACCTCAGGGATCTACCACAAATCAGACGTCTACTTCAGTGGTGGATGTGAAGACAACAGGATTGATGACAACATCACCTACATCTGCTACATCTAAAACAGGAGCAGGTGTACAGTTACCATCTTCACCTCCAACCCTCACAACAAGATCCACAACAGCAACAGAAGCTGAAAGAACAACATCAAAAGAATCAGACAAAATATCATCTGTCACAACACAAAGCACCTCAGCACAAAACCCTCCACATGTAACAACTGAGACACAGACTGCAGCTGCAGACACAGGATCATCAACT